CAGGATGGTCTCGATCTCCTGACCTCGTGATCCGCCCGTCTCGGCCTCCCAAAGTGCTGGGATTACAGGCTTGAGCCACCGCGCCCGGCCCTTATGTGCTTTTTAAAAGGAGAAACTGGAGGCCCAGTGAGGCTAAATGACCAGCCCAGAGTCACAGAGCAGGCAAAGGACAGCCATGGAGCTAGAATCCAGGCCCGCTTGTTGTACTTGGGGAATCTGGAAGCCAGTTTCTCATTGCCCTGCCCCATAGAACGGAGATGCTCCCTCTACCCCAGTGCACAGCCAACACCTACCAGGCAGTCCACCTTGGTGACATGCCGGGCCAGTGTCCGGGCATCCACCTCTGCCAGCAGCTCCTTGACCTTGCGCAGAAGGCCCACCTCCAGCGGTCGGTTATCCCTGGGGATCAGTAGTGACTGGAAGGTGGCCGGGTTGAAGGAAGAAGTGACTTCCACGATGGGGACTGTGAAGGTCTTGCCCCAGTCCTCCTCGGGGGCCCCATTTTCTGACAGTTCCTTTAGCTTCTCCCCATAGCTCCTGGCCTGCCGGCTGGAGGCCTCAGCTGCTGCCCACTCTCGGCTGCCACGCACGGGAGGCTGGAGCTGGCAGTAGTGGCCAGAGTCCGGGTCACTGTAGCTGCTGAGTGATGGTGACGGGGAGGTCTTGCAGAGGGTGTGGGAGGGGCTGGTGTGGGGGCCCTTGTCTGACTCCCCATGGGTCTTTGGGGCACTTCCGGGACACAGCTGGGGCTCACTGGAACGGCGGGTGACAGGGGAGGCAGGCAGTGCTGTGGCAGAAGGGGCTGCAGGGGCGGCATGGACACGGGTTACTGCAGAAAGAGAGGCCCCGTTATAGCAGCTCCCCACCAAAGTGAGATTCCCGCACCCCTTCCCAAAGAGCAGGCTCCCTCACTCCTTGTAGGGAGTACAGAGGTGATGTCCCCACTTCCCTGCATCACCAGAGACCAGGGCCAGCTGACTCTGGCAAGCTGACCAGCCCAGGTGATGCTCTGAAATCACCAGGACCTATATGAGTTTGCATGGCCCCACCCTGAGGCTGCTGCAGCCTTGGGGACCCACTGCTTGGAGGAGCTTCAGTGATCCAGGAAAGCTGAGTATCTGCTGGAGTTTCTTGTGCCACACGCGATTGTTTCTCAACTAGTTAGCAATAATTATTTCCTTTTTTTTTTTTTTTTTGAGTCAGTGTCTCGTTCTGTCACCCAGGCTGAAGTGCAGTGGCGCCATCTAGGCTCACTGCAACCTCCACCTCCTGGGTTTAAGCAGTTCTTCAATTCTTGACCCTCAGCCTCCCGAATAGCTGGGATTACAGTCATGTACCACAACGCCCAGCTAATTTTTTTTTTTTTTTTTTTTTT